TGATTCAAATATGTGAGGTTCTAAGCTCCATAATTATGCGAAATATATAGTATAAATGTGATGCTACAAATAAACTGCATCAAAATAACAATTTGTACCTATACTACCAGAGTGTCTTTATAACTTCTACCTCATAGATGTTAGTTACATATAGTGTTTCAATGAAATATTAAAAAATGTGATTGTTTTATTTGGTTAGTGTTCAGTGGGTTGTAAATTTGTTTTAAATTAGTGCTCTTCTTGGGTGATATACATCTTACTTTCAATCTATCTAGAAGTAAATTGGTGAGTAAAAAATGTCCCATGTGATTCACTCCTAACTGCATCTCAAATCCTTCTTTCGTTTTTGATTTTGGGGTTTTCATCACCCCTGCATTGTTAATCAGCACATCCAATTTTTTCTCACGAGCCTTGAAATTCTCTGCAAATTCTCTTACAGACTCCAAAGATGCCAGATCGCACTTTCTGCAGTAAACGTATTTATTTTTAGTGTTCAATACAATTTCCTCCCTGGCCTGAAACCTGAATTCATTGATAATACCTAGACAATAAACTTCTCAAAGAATACTCACAGTTTCACAACGTTTCATATCTCTACAAGCCATGTAAACTCTTGCACCTCTCTTAGCTAATTCCCAAGCAGTTTCCTTTCCAATACCAGTATTGGCTCCAGTTATAATGACGACTTTTCCTTCAGCGACTGCAGTATCTGAACCTTGATAATTCAGTCCTCCCAGCCACTCCCTACAAATGAAATAAGAAACACCGAAAATGGTGTTTTCAAATATCAACTAGACTGTTTTGCATACTTTGTCAAACAAGCAACACCAAAACCAGCTGCTATCGTAGATCCGAGAACGAAATATTTCGGCATTTTTACATTCTTGAAGACCATGTTGAAATTTTTGATGATGATAAATAGTTACAGCGTTTTTCAAATTTGCAATTTTTAATTTTTAGGTTAGTTCAGTTACCAGTCATAACCTTTTTTCTATTTCTACTTTTTTTCTCAAAACTAGCCAAGCTGCCCGAGCAGTGACGTAGTCATAATTGTCTATGTGCCAGAGTCACCGACAGTGTCTATTTTCAATAAACAATGACATTTTTAGTTCTGAAAAATGTCATAAATATTCATTAAATCACAAGAACAAAGTCAATGTACTTTTGATAACTTTCAATAAACAATTCAGCTTTCAAATTTATTATTGAGCGTTTTAACAAATATATATTGGTGACCCTGATGGAAAGTGTTATGGGAAACCTGAGAAGTTTATTCATTTCAAAATGAGATTGGTCAATGAGTCAATGGTCAAAGTATTAAAAGAGTTGTTGGAAATCTCCAAGTACGTTTATTCAAAAAGCGAATTTCGAACTACATTTTCAAAATGATCCAAAATATTCCAAGTAGTGAATTGATTCAAATATGTGAGGTTCTAGCGGAGCAAGAAAATCTGCAAGTAACTCTACGGGAAGCGACAAAAGGTGCGATGATAGCGGGTTTTGGGGCCTTCGCAGGTGGATTGCTGGCAGGACCTTTTGGATTAGCCGTGGGTGAATAAATACAACTCACATATGTTTTTTATTAATAGGTCGTCACTTCGATACAAATTTGAGAGAATTACGAGCCATTCTGAAACAATTATTTCCTCATAAGTATATCAAAATATACAGGAATCACTTTTTTATCGAAACAGTCATGAAGTGAACTATGAAGTTTTTTTACACTTCCCCAAGATATTATATTGTAAGAAATGTGTGAATAGGCCATTGCCATTGCCTCAGCAGGCTTGACCTGCTTATACATTGCTTCATATTTATGATGCACTGTTTGGAACCTTTGGTGTAGTAATGAATATTACTAGAGTTTTTTCCCAACACCAAATTGTTATTTTTAACACCTCGACACGTGTTTCAATCACCACGTGATCATCTTCAAAGAGTTTTAATCTTCCTCTTTGAAGATGATCACTTGGTGATTGAAACACGTGTCGAGGTGTTAAAAATATAGATTTGGTGTTGGGGAAAAAACTCCATTGATATTCATTGCTTCATATTGCAAAATATGCTTTGTTTAATTCACAACATACAATATCAATATGTAAATCCCAAGTTAGTTATTCACCCAAAATTGTACCCAAAAATTTAGCAACAGTTACAACATCAGTATCAAATGAGTCGCATATGTGATCTGGAATATTGCTCTTTCTGTTATAGAATTTCATAGAAACAGATTTGATAGTGTTTAAGATGAGGTGGTTAAGTTGATACCAATTCTTATTAACAGTATATGTAATGAAAATAACTTAATTCATTTCCTCGTACTTCAGCTTCAGGTATTGACTGTCTTATCCCTACTAGGAATTGCATGTTGAAAGGTAATACCTCATTAATCGTTAGCTCGCACAAGTTTCGACTTTTGAGGATTTTCATTCGTAGGAGGCAACAGCTGGTTAACGTAAAAACATATTTGAACTTTTTTTTAATATTTGGTCTTATTTAATTTGAAAAATAATCAACAACTTCAATTGTGAATCTTATTTATCTACTTACTTTGTTTTCATTGCTGTGGTTAGTTATAGGTATGTGTACATTCTAACAACTATATTATTGTAATATAATCTTTTAGTAACTCTCTTTTCAATAAAACAAAAGTAAATCTAATAATTGTAGTCGAAATTCATAATTCTATAAGGACCAAATAAAAACGTATGAATCTAACCGAAGTGGCTGCTTACAAATTCTTCCAAATCTTGTTTGATAATAACTGAAAGTATACGGATCTGGATTTTCAATAGAAGTTGCTGTCTCAATAAAATCATCATGATCTTTAATCTTGATGATTTATACATTTCATTCTTCTATTATTAATTTCTATTGAAACAAATCTAAGAATAAAACAATTTTCAATAACCTTAGCTGTCTTCCCATATACCATTGTTTCTACATACTACATTTTCTCCAGGTTTCACTTAGAATGACCTTTCATTTCTAAACATACATCAAAAGAGTGAAATGTCTATATGGCATATTCAACAATCTATATGAATACACATACAGGATGTTTTCTGAAAATTTAGTTTAGATTCATCTTTCTGTTTTAAACCATGTGTTTCAGCAATTGCAACCAGGTATGATCCATTTCCATAGAGCTAATTGAAATACACTTGTTATCTACTAAAAAAATATGTGCAGATTCTTTGAGTTTTCAAAATTTTTTTCATGAGGAACCTTGATGTTTTTATACAGGTTTTATTCTGTTATCAAGTATAAAAACTAACACATTTCAAAATCTAAAAACGTGGCGAATAATGTAACTTTATTTTTATGTATACTCATTATTTTATTACCTTGTTTTTGCATTTTCATAAACCATTTTTTTAATTTCTATAGTAAATATTGAAGGAAATAATTGTTTCAGATAGGTTCTTTTTTCCTGTTTGTATGTGAAATATCTGTAGATGATTTCAATATTTTTATTGATATTTGTCGATGTTTTCTTCCTTTATTTGGAAACGTAATAACGTAAAACGTAATAACATAGAAGTTGAAAATCAAACGACGGCATATTAACCAGTCTTTTAATTTTGTTGGTTCTAGGAGGCACCTTGGGATCCATAACTGCAGCATGGCGTTCAAGAGAAAAGTATAGATCAGTAGTGGATATTTTAAGGAATGAGTTAACTAGTCAACAACAAGAAAAATTGGCAACTTCCATTAAAAATATTTTACAGAATGTCAAACCTGATGACTGTATCAAACTTCTCGCTCTTGTATTAACCAGCACATCGCTAAAGGAAGCAGTTCTTAAAGAAATTGGAAATTTTCTGATGAAAGAAATGAGTTTGCAAATGATCCGATGACTAGGATTCTATGTGTTCGCATGAATGTTTTATGTTACCCAAGAAGGATATTTTGATTCAAATGTAAGCTAGATGAGAGTATTGTTTAAATTGAAAGGGATATATTTTCAGAAAAGATTAATTTTTGGGAAAGACAATTTTTGGCTTTCTACTTCTCCATCTTTATACAAAAAATGTGGGAGTCTTCCAAAGAAAGGAAGAAAGCAAGTGATTCCAAAATAAACTTTTTACTAAGATGTGTAGATTATACAAAGAAATAATTTTCAGACATAAATTGGAAGAAACAGCCTTCCTGAAAAACAATTACTTTTATATAAACATTGAATTATATGAAAAAAAAGTACTTTCAGAACAACTACTTTTATGTGAACATTGAATCATACAAAAAAACACGTTTTCCTAATCAGTTTGTACTTCAGACATTCGTTATGGAATTGAATCAGATATCATTCACAGGATTGATACACAATATAGAATATGGAAGAGGTAAAAATTTCACTTACCTGGAACACTTTCACCCTCAGTGGCGGAATAAGACCCTTGTCTTATTGCCTCTCAGCACCGATCTTGTAAAGTTATCCAGATTGGTGCTGCAATCTGGATAACTTTACTGCTGGTGTTCCAGGTAAGTGAAATTTTTACCTTTTCCATATTCTATATTGTGTATCAATGAAAGTTTTAATTTTTTTTGTATAACCTTTCCCGAAAAAAAGGATATTGTATGTACCCAAAATATGTATAAAACTCATGTTCTATTTGTACAAAGCCTATCAATTACATTTCGTTACTGGAATAATTTGAGGTATCTCGAGAAGTTGGATGGAATTATTTAAATGACTGAAATTTAAATTCTTTAGAGGAATACTGAGCGAAATTAAAACAGAAGCATTTTAGTGGCATGTTCTGGAGAACAGTTTTTTAGAACTAGACAATATCATAGTAATTATACCTGTTTTCAAGTAATGAAAAAACATGAAAAATTACAGACAGTTCTTAGAGGTACAGGTGTCAAAAGTTCATCAAAATTTCCAACTCAAATATTTTTGTCGCCCACTGGTAACTACAGCTATAATCATATGAACATATATAGTTTGGAATCATTATTCAATGCCTTTTAAAGAAGTTTTATTTTTTGAACATATTTTGAGGTTGTGAAATAACTTCCAAATTGTAGTATTTGAAAGACATTATAAATGTTTCTTGCTGTTTTATGTGTATTTAATCTTCCACAATCTGGAAAAATAAACAAAGCTAAATCATTCGAGAATCTGCTTTAAAGTGTAAAAAAGGGCAAACTGAAAAGTTCCCTGTGAAAAATTACTATGTAAATATTTCAAAGAAATTTTATATCTAGAAAATATATTATACTTATTTCAAATCTTTGCTGGCTTCTTGGGTAGTATTAATCTAGTAGAATACTAATTTAAAATGTAAATTGGTCGCATTATGGTGTCAAGTAATTTAGATTAGTGACTCGAATTGAAATGTTTTTACAGAACATTGAATTTGATGGCTGTGTTGACTCTTCTTGATAATTTTACTAACAATAGAAAATTTTTACATTCACTAAATATGTACAGTGTTATTGTTGAAATGTAGGAATGAATTAAAAAAAGGTACAATTTGAAATTGTTTTGAATGGCTAATTATACATCTATCATAAAAGAAACCTTTGTCCTGTTTTCAAAAGTTCATCTTTCCCAAAATTAAACAAATTAAAAATGAAAATTACGGAGAGTCTTTTTCTATATTTTGATCAGTTATTAGTTGAACAGGGTTTTATGAATTAATCGAATATCTTGATTTGTTTGTGGAAACATTTAATAGCAGGGGAGCCCACGATGCAAAATGGGGATTTACTCGAGCGTCATAGAGACCTATTAGGTTGCAAAACTTAGATGATAAGAAGAATAAAATGTTATATAATATATACGTTGTCATCGGTGGGGGAAGCTGCTATAGATTATTAAATATGTAAAAAAAAACTTTTGCATGGACATACTCGAGCGCGTCAGATATTGATACCATCAATGTCCTACGTATTTTTAATAATGTTCGTATGTTAATCTGATCGTTTGCATGATGCGGGTGGTTGTACGTAAGGGTTAAAAATGAAAAAAAAAATTATCAGATTTTCTAAGGGGGTGTTAAGTGCACCAAAAAAAAGCTCTCATTCAATAATCTGACGATTTCGATCTGGCGCAAAATCGTCATTTTGAAATACTCAAGCGCGTCAGATTAAGACATATATGGTTCATCTTTATGTTTCAGACGTGCTATTTCATAATCTGACTCTTCAAAATAAAAAAAAAATTAGTTACGCTCGAGAATGTCGAGATGACGTTTTTTTTACAACTTTGCTGCCCTTTCCTTTACGTCACTCTCAAATTGTCAGATTACTGGAATATACACTTTTTAGCATTTAATTAACTCACCCTCACCACCCTCATATTTGGTGGAGGTACTTAACCGGGTACAAGGTATCCCTCTGTATATTAATCTGCCGCGCTTCACTAAATCCCGAAATCCCCGCTTGTGCTCCCCTATTATAACTTTTAAACATGTTTCAACTTTGAGCAATCATCAAATAAAATTCTCCGAATTAATTTCGCTTTTATGTAAAATGTAAGTCCCATTCAAAGTTTAATAAGAATTGATATTTTTTATGAATGGTAAAAATATGATGATATCACTTTGTGAAAACATTACCTATTCCCATTGGTAGAATATTTTAGAACAAAAAATTCTTTTTCAGACAGAAATATTGTTTTCGGTACACTGATAGTTCCATTGCTTGTTATTCTATACATAAGTGACTTTTCTAGACCCTGAATTTTAAAAGCGTGTGGCTCTTGGATCATGCATGCAAGTAAGATTATATACTAATCATACACGCATCAATTTTCAAGGTTCTTGGAAGAATCCAGAAGATTCTTTTGTGAAATATTCGGATATATGTGACGACTTGAATGTGATTTCAGTTTGCAGGTTAATGTTATTCAACTAGTCATTGTAGAATGCGAAAGCAGAAATGAGGGTACGGCAAACTCTAAACTTCAATATTTTTCTCATACTTATATGCATTGTACCATGTGGGAAACAATATAACCCTAAATTGGCCGAAAACAAAAATATAGTTGCTTGACAGGTCTAAGTCTGCACTTCAAGATCAAAATCAAATTTGACTAATGTTTCTGTGAAACAAGATGATGTCCGTTCGCTGAACAAATGGAGTAATCATATGCACTTTGTGTACCTACAAAGTTAACAATCAGATTTACATGATAACATCAGAACTGACTATATGCAGAGCGATTTCGCTTGTTTATAACTCTATTCGTTTGTTGAACAAACTATAGTGTCAGGGTGATGAAGGAAATCTCCAAAGAATATTGGGAAAATATGCCCTACTTCCTTGGTGTTGATTCAGCAAAGAATAAATAAGAGATATATACATTGTTAACCTTGATATCTGTTAATGTTTGATAAAGTGATATTAGAACATTGTGCCAAGTATAACTTTTTTCGATTTAAATTAATACGAGCGGCTTAGGGTGGAATCAAACCATTTTTTTTTGCTTCCCTCAATGTTACTCTTATGCTCAAAGTTCTCGATTCAGTTACATCAGTTTTTATCATATTCTGCGTACAATTATGGTGGAGACTCACCTAAGATTGAAAGAGTTCATAAACAGACAAAAAGGTGGATAAATGTGTTGAAATTGGAAAACGTATTTACGATTCTTGTCACTTTATTTATAAAAATAACCCAAACAAATCAATTTACTTCCTACACTTACGTTGCTCAAAGTCAATCAATCAAAAGCCAATGGATAAATATAATGTTGGTAGAATGAAATTAGAAAATCCTGTGAGCAAATATAAAAATAATATTAGAAGTCAACATAAACAAGAGTGGTCTTCTTATTCCAGCGAAAAAGTAAGAGCAACTTTGAAAATTCACATTATTCCAAAAATTTAATTCAACACCAAAATTCATATCTCTTTAAACAATATACCTAAGAAATATTCGTAGAACCTAAAAAAACACAAACTACTGTTGTAAATCATCACAGACGGGTACCTATATGGTCTGTGTAAATCATGCCCTAAATAAAATAACGCCGGCCAGTACTAGTAGCCATTAACCAATTGTGACGTAGGTAGCTAAGAGCGCGCGAATGTTCGATGTTCGCTGCCATTCTAGGTATTGTGTGAATAATGCTACCGGCTTCGATGAATTTCTGAGGAATTTTCCAGCGCCTTCGATTGCCAAATATAAGCACCATCCACTCGCCCTCCGAGACAGTCAAGTTTCGCGGACAGTGTCGTACGTAGCGATCTAATAAGGCGATAGACATTCGAATAATAGTTTAGTTTAAGTGTTTTGTTGTATTGAAAGTGAAATAAAGTTGAGTTTGATTATTGTTCAGTGTAGTCAATTATTATTAAACCCACGGGAAAAACGTAACACCAGTTTACTAAAACCTCAAAATATACACAATACATCTGAAAAATGCAATAAAAATTCTAAAATATTTCAAAACAGGGTTTCGATAAACAATGGTTTGCAGGTGTTATAAATCACAGAACTTATAATAGGTGAAAGTTTGAGTTCTATTTGAACATCTCGAAAAATTATATTTGAATTTTTAGCTGAAGCCTAAAATAACTAGCCCCGCAGAAACCAGATCTAAATGTTAACAGTTGTATAGATAACATCATAATCAACTTTAACGATAACAAATGGAATAACAGATCCTGGCGCCTCTTATACCATGTTGGGCAATTCATTTCTATATTCTGAGTAACCCCCGTGAAGCCAATAAATACAAATGCTACAGAGTCATGAAGGTCCAGAGTCTTCAGTCCGTTTCGTCTTTGACCAAGGCGTAATAATGACCAAATTCAAGGCCAGTATTATTAGTTTAACACATTTTTCTCAAATGTAGCCGAGAATATCATTATATCGTTGCCATCCTGCAATAAAGTTACTCTAAATTGCTATTCAAACCTTCTTAAACTTGTTTTTTACTGCTAGTTACACATGAAAAAATGGTACTTCAGAAGCTCAAAAATAGCTTCAGTTCCGATATAATATTCAACTAAAACGGTAAAATAATCAAAGAAAATTGTCAAAATATGTTTTTTTGTCGCCCCCCTACGAACGACCACCCTCAGGAGTTGAAATTTGATGAGCTTAGGATTAACAAGGTATTACCTGTTAAGGTGCAATTCCTAGCACGGGCTGGACGATAATCAGTGAAAATCGATTGTTAACCCTCTGGGCTTGAACCGCCGTTTCACATAGCAGTTTGTTGAAAGAGCCCAATAGGCAACCGTCCCGCCATTCTAACAAACCATTGTTTTAGTGGAGGGGTCCTGATACTGCTAAAGTAAGCAAAGTCGTGCCAATTTATATAAAAGATCAGAATTTTCTAGACAACTACATACCTATCTTTACTATTCCTATTTCAAGAAAAATTTTAGAAATTCTAATTGAAGACCCTGAAACAACTAAAAAAGAAGAATTACAAATGAATAGCTGAAAATAAGAATTATATTAACCAAAATAAACCTGAAATGAAATCATAGTGGAATAAAATACAAGTAAAAATAAAACAATTGAATAAATAAAAATAAAGAAAAGAAAAATAAAAAGTGGAGAGATTCCAAGTCACGCTAGTTCACGACGTTTCGATTGTTAGTATCTACAATCGTCTTCGGGTGATGACTGGTATTTGTAATTCTTCTTTTTTAGTTGTTTCAGGGATTTCAAATCATTTTATATAGTAGACAATGGAAGTCCGAACTAGTGAAATTCATCATGAACCATTGTCAATCACCTTCAAACAAATGAAGAGCGACTATTGAGTAGTTTATTAAATTCAATTTTCTTTATAGCCATCAGTTCAATTTCATTTAGAACAAATCTACACTGATGTAGTGGTAAGAGTAATTCAACATGTCACCAATAAGACGAATTGCTCTATTTTCTATGAAATCAAAGTTTGTGTGTTGAGCTCCGTACAATGAGAAGTATTTTAGAACGGATGAACTCGAGCCATACAAATCGAAAACTTTCCCATCTTGAACAGTGAAATGACTTTTTTATCGACCTTCTTTGGGTATTTTCTGTGTCATGAAAAAACAGAGTCAAGTTATAGCGAAATTGCTTTTCAGTATGAATTATTCTAACAATCTTCTATTTATTCAAAAAATATTTCTACCAGTGGTGGCGGAAGGTCCAGAACCGTTATTAGCACCCTACTCATATCAAAAGATAATCATATTTGCGAAAAAAGTTACATGACCAACTGGACTACAGTGAAATTGAAAAACCTCATCACCACACGAACTATCAGAGGCAGGATTCTTCTATACTGGTAGAAATGATCAAGTCAAGTGTTTCTACTAGGGCAGCATCAAGGTGAAAGATTGGCTACCTGAACACGAAGTATAGATCTAACATCAAATTTTCAATGATAGTTGTGAATTTTGGAAACTCAAAAATCCAAATTTTCCACTCAAAAAACCAGGCACGATAGATAAAAAAAATTGTTTAGAAAAAGGAATTAATATTATTTGGTTAAATGTGTACCTAGTTTCTCGAAAAATCCATATATAATTTTTTTCCATTTCTCTGTTCGAGTACGCAATTACATCCATTTGGTGAACAGTAAGTCCAAATTTTGCAGACAGTGCTATTATAAATCATGTGGAGTTTGCTGTCATGAAAGGAGCAAAAATTTCGTGGAACTCTGCGTCATACTGCTGGGCATATTCTTTGATAACAATTTCCATCAGCTTGATACTTAGTGTAACTTTATTTNCAACTTTTCTATTATTGCGATTTTTTAAAATATCCGAAGTATTATTCTTGATTCGTGTCATATGCCATATATTCATTCTTGATAGCTTGTTTCCACTCTACCGATTCTGGACTTGATTGGGTCTGATTTATAGTTATTGGATTGATCATTTGTGCTAAAGTTCCCCTTGGTAGCTTTGTGTTTCTTTGGGCGATATTCAGTATTCAGATGATACTATGGTTTTTAAATATTGTTTTCTGCCATTCCTTCCAGTTCGAATTATTCGAGGTATTCCTCTTCCTCTATGAGAACTCTCATTTCTGTCATTCTTTTTCTGTTCATCATCATTTTCTGTTTTTCCATCATTTCAACTTTCTTCAAATTTTCTTGTTTTTCACTCGAACTCTGTTGCAGAGAAATTATTCATTGATCTACAAAAAATCCAAAAAATCTTCATAATTTTCTTGGCCATCTGATATAGAAATTCCGATATAGTGTTTCCATTGTTCAACAAACATCTGAGTGAATAATCTCCAAAATTTTTACAGTTCTTTTGCTGAAAATTAATTTAGTTATGAATTGATCTTGCTTCATTTAAACGTCCAAATTTCACATGCCACTCTTTTATTTTGAAATCTTCTCTCAAATTTGCAGCATCAATCGCTTCGTTAGGTATGGTGTACTGTTAGCAACAACTTCTTTATTCTGAGACTCATAGTTTCAGTTCTTTTAAAGTGAACTCTGTGATCTTTGTCAGTAATTTTTTAAACAGACATCTGCAAAAGGAAGAGAATTTTTCAACAAGAGGGATTTTTCTCTCATAACTGAACATCTGAAATGTTCTTTTTCAGAGTTTATCTAAGATTTGCAACCACCGTCTAGGCACCTTTCTTTTTATTTCAGAATGAGTCTTTCTTCTAATGATATTGACTCGCACTTCGATGAACAACTTATCTTATTTTTTGGTAAGGAAATATACATTAACTTTTTATAGTTACGAAAACAACAATTTTTTATCACCAGCGTTTTGACATCTGCAACAATTTTGAAATGTAATTCCTACTTTATATGTATCTCTTCTTTATTGTAATTCCTACTTTATATGTCAAAATTAGATAAATGATCGAAAAATATTTGAAGAAGAAAAGTTCAAAAATAATGTTATAAAAAAGTATTTTCATTTATTGTGTTTAAATTACAGTTATTTTTGACGCTGGTTATTGAGAAATTGGTATATTGTAAATAATTTTGAAAATACTAGTAAATTGATATCGAAAACATGGATGCAGGTATCTAATTTAATCGTTGAAGATTATGATGTCACCTATCAAAAATTTTCTTTAAAAAAATACTTTGTATTTGTAGATACTACGATATATGAAAATACATGAAAATTGCGAATAGGTATTCAAATTATTAAAACTTCTTATTTTGAATGTTATTCTCTGTATATTTATCCATGAACGGTATTGTGCTTCCTGTGATTCTGATAAAAACGAATCGAATATTTTCAATAACATTTATTCAAACAGAAAAAAATATATACGGATAATTCCAAATACAAGGGGAAGACAGGTAAAATTTCTTAATAATACAATTATCTTGACATATATTATTCATAATGGATCGTTACTAGTTTCGATATCTTGCTCCCTAAATTTGCCTAATTAAAATCACAAAGTGGAATTTCAATGGTCTAATATACGCATATTTCCAGAGACAATTTTATTCTCTAAAATGGCACCTGCAGGAATATCTATCCTATCTCCATGGTTGGCAATTATAATAACGGTCCCCTGAAAATCCATAAATACTTAATATGAAGTAAAGAAAAAGTAGCCAGGATATCATAATATATCTAAAAATATATATTTATGTTCGAAATATGTAATTGATAACTGATAAATAAGTTATAAACCACAAGCCCATACTATAGGTCATATGATACCGAACATATTAAAAACCTATATAAGTACTGAAGTAAAAACTGAATTACAGCCTAATTGTCAGTTTTAACTGGTGCATATAAAAATCTTGGAAAAGTCAAAACAACTCATGAAGAGGGTAATTTGGTAAAAACTCTTGTACAGCTTTTATAAATCTAGACCTAACCAAACAAAAACAAATAAGGCAGAAAAATAGTACAAAATTTCATTTTCAGAAAAGTTATATACATGGTTGATAAATTCCTGTAAGGTTTTTATAAAATTCTCTCTTTATATCAACAAGAGTTTTTTATTTTGTCATGCCATGTACATTATTTGTGGTATATAGTAATAGCTATACAGTTTATTAGCCTAATAGGGGATCTGGTCAAAGTAGACAAAATACCAAAAGGCGGACCTTGACTACACTGAAATTGTCTACGTAGATCCAGAATCTCGAAATCATATCAGGAAAATTAAAAGAAAATATAAAATTGAAATTCAAAATAGTGTTGTGAATATAAAATTTTCAAAATAGTGCTGTAAATATAAAATTAAGGATAACGTTGTATATATAAAATATCATGGAAAGAGAATCGGAAGAGTAATAAATAGTGCTGTTGATATAAAATTCAAATATGAAGTCTAAAGTATATATGGTGGTAAACGTAATATCAACCCAATACCATAGGCTTATTATAAGAGTGGTGATTTGATTTATCGTAAAACTTGGAACTGGGCAAAATATGTTCCAATTCGAAACACGTATTGGCATTACACAATGTGAATATATAATAGGTATATTCTTTTTATGTAATGGGGTTTATCCCGTGAATAAATACATAAATTCACATGAAAATTGAGAAATAAAATTTCCTATGTTTTTATACCATTTGTAAAAGTGGTTTATTGTATTAGGTTGAAAATGTCCCTATAGGATGAAACTGCAGTGATGAAGTTACAAATGAAAGTGGTAAAAAACATAGACCACATGCCAGGTTATCTGATTTCCTTTTCAATGCCAAAGATAACGTGGACAAGTTGGAGATATCTGGAGTTCATAAGCTTAAGTGTCCGGAGTGTAATAGTGTTTATTTGGGACAATATGGTCGAAATTTCCAAAAACGGTATGCTGAATATGAAAGGTCTTTCAGACTAGGTAAAAATGATTCGACGTTTTCAAACCACTCCTTGGCATGCAACCATAAGTTCCCGAATCTAAACGGTACGGAAATTTTGCACTATGCAAGGAACGGTTGCAAACTCAATTATTTAGAATCCTTGAAAATTCACAAGCATAAACATTGCGGGTGCAACCTGTTAAATGATTGAATCGATTCAGTTTACTCACCGGTTTTCAAATGAGCATATCCACATTGTCACTAGTAAACAAAATTTAGGTACTCAATCAAGCTAAGCTGTATTATTAGCTACAGTGGTGTTTTATAAGGACTGATGTAATCAATCATTGTTAATTTAATGTATAAGTTTGAAAATGTCGTCATAGGACGAAACAGCAGTAACGTTAGTTACAAATGAAAGTGGTAAAAACATAGAAAGTTTCAATTCTCTTTTCTTCATAGAAAGTTTTATTTCTCAATTTTCATTATGATATCCTACTACATAGTAATGGCTACATCCATCAATTTATTGAAATAAATTTTCACGTGCACCACTTTCAACTGATGATATTATACTGAAACTCATTTTGTACTTTAATGCTATAAAAAAATACATATTTTCAAGAGGTTTCAAATGACCCCTTTAGCTGAAATATTTCGTATATAATCTAAAATGAAAGCAATAGCAAATCGCTTAGAATGTGACTGACATGAAATAAGAGAGTTCTCTACACCCTAAATCAGTACGACCAATCAGCCTTACATATTTCCTGTTGAAAGGACTTGAGAGGATACTGGACGGACAAACCAGGAAGGTTGCTTTATATGTAGCCCCCCTGAATAACCAACAGTATGTGTATCAAACTGCAAATCGACAGATTTAGCATGCAGATGACCTTGTCATCTTGGCAAGGTCCACGCCGGGAAGGGTAGTGTGTAATATTCTCCACAGTTGGTGCCAGAGGAAGCAGATGTCAATCTCACCAAAACTGTGATAATCCCCTTCACCAGGGGGAGGAAATTGGACAATTTAACGCCACTTTCCATCAATGGTGTGGTCATTCCATTTGGAATGGAGGTGAAATATATTGGCATCGTCCTTGATAAAAAAAACTCACCTGGAAGGTTCATTTGGACATGTCGAAGGATTTGTGGTAAAACTTGGGGTTTAGGTTCCAAACAAATCCATTGAATATCTGGGATGATTGTCAGACCAATGATCACTTATGGAGCAGAGACAGGCTTGTCTGTTTATCTGTGAGGCCATCAGTACCACACTGTCAGCGGCCATGGAGATCAATCTAGAACTCCCTCTTCTTCACATTTTTCTGGAGAGAGAGGCTAGTTGGACTGCATATAGACTTGTGCACATCGCCAATTGCACAAAGCAATATAATGCAGAAAACACTAGACTGATGGCTGACACTGGAAGTCACAGCATTCTGGGAATGACCTCTGACATTATGCCTCCAACTGTCAACTACGAACTGCCTTATACAGTACTTTTCTCGAGTAGAGAGGATTGGATCCTTTGGGAGAAGGAAATATTAAGAGTAGATAGTTGTTGGTTCAAAGATAGATCAAAAACAACTTCGGGCTCTGATGCAGGTATTTTCAGTTGCAGACCCAGGACCTGCCTAGGGACCTATGCGACTGTATTTCAAGCGGAAATCTATGCTATTGAATTGTGTGCGGAGAGATTTGTAGAATCCAACCTCACACACAAATCAATAAAAATTTTCTCGGCAGTGAAGCGGCGTTGGATGCTTTTGGCTCTTACCGAGCAACGTCTGAGTTGGTGGCAAATTGTCAAAAACTACTCTCCTCAATAGGAAGACTTAACAAATTGTCTCTGGTCTGGATTACTGGCCACACTGGGCTGGAAGGCAATGAGGCTGCTGAATCCCTTGCAAAGGAGGGTGCTGCAAGTAGCTTCAACAAACCAGAACCTGTCATTGGCATTGCTTCAGGTTTTTCCAAAGAGACATTGAACACTTGGATGGCAAAAAGATTTAAAGACTTCTGACAAAATCTTCAAGGATTGGCTCACTCCAAGGCGTTCATTCATCCTTCGAAGCTTGAAACCAAACAGTTATTGGACTACAGTAGGGATGAACTACGATGTCTAATAGGCCTTCTTACAGATCACTGTCGTCTGAATCATCATATGCAGAGACTTGGATTGTCGGAAGACAGTGTGTGTCGCCTGCCCCGCTGCGGACCATCTGACCCGAAAAATCACTCACCATATAAAATAATCGGCTTCGTCAAGAAGCTGAGTTTATTTGGTCGAGTTTAAATAGGTGTGAGCCACAATAAACCCTAGCGGGTTGCGGTGGAGGTCGAATAGGCCCACTCACTTTTGACCTAACCGAACCTAACTACTCTGAGTTACATGTATTCTCGATTGATATTCAACTTTTCATTAAAGATGCGAAAACCTGATTACAAATTGTCTCTGGTCTGGATTACTGGCCACACTGGGCTGGAAGGCAATGAGGCTGCTGAATCCCTTGCAAAGGAGGGTGCTGCAAGTAGCTTCGACAGACCAGAACCTGTCATTGGCATTGCTTCAGGTTTTCCAAAGAGACATTGAACACTTGGATGGCAAGAAGATTTAAAGACTTCTGACAAAATCTTCAAGGATTGGCTCACTCCAAGGCGTTCATTCACCCTTCGAAGCTTGAAACCAAACAGTTGTTGGACTACAGTAGGGATGAACTATGATGTCTAATAGGCCTTCTTACAGATCACTGTCGTCTGAATCATCATATGCAGAGACTCGGATTGTCGGAAGACAGTGTGTGTCGCCTGCCCTGCTGCGGACCATCTGACCCAAAAGATCACTCACCATATAAACTAATCGGCTTCGTCAAGAAGCTAAGTTTAAATAGGTGTGAGCCACAATAAACCCTAGCGGGTTGCGGTGGAGGTCGAATAGGCCCACTCACTTTTGACCTAACCGAACCTAGTAGTGTCAATTCATAATTTTTTTTTAAATCTCGAGACCTCAAATTCGACAATTTTTACTACTGTTCAATAGTAAAACCTGTAATATTAATGAAAACTCTCTCTGGCGCAACATTTTCAAGTAACTGCAGTAAAAATTACCTATTTTTGTGGTTACATTGACCAAACTGCTTCAATCGATTTATTCAAGTAGCACTTTATCGTGAGATTTGCACTGGACAGTTTACAAAACCGCAATACGTGTTTTCATATTATTCAGTCAGTATAAAACGCTTGAGGAAGCTATCGTATAGCGAAATACGTGTTGGGGTTTTGTAAACTGTCCCGTGAAATCATCAAAATAAAGTGTCACTTGAATAAGTATTTCATCAAGTATGGTCAAGTCAAAACAGATGCAAGTATTTAGTGAAAATTAAAAATGAAATGCCATAACTTCGATGCGGAACTGTTTTTATGAACTGGATGACTAGATGGAATAAAAGGTGGTGACAAATCACATGAAAATTATGAAGAAATATACTGTAAGCCATAAAATTATTGGGTGCAGTCTAGAGTGTACATTTTGTCTTTCATTGCATTATTGTAAGCGAGCCAGAACTGAACCACAATTTGCGAGAAATGGCCAATAAATTGCGCCATCTGGGCTCAATACAAATTCAAATACACAAGCTCTGAGGTGCTTGAGTGGAAATACTAGTATGCTAGAACTGTCATTTATAGATAATAGTTGCTGCTACTGAACGTATTGAGGTAATATTGAAAATGAAATATGATAACTTTCATAAAAAAATAGTCTATTTGTGAAAGAAAAAAAACAAAACAAAAATGAACCATTCATAAACTTCAATTTTCGAATATTCTTGTTATTCCGTTACTGCGTTGCAATAATTCCAACAATAATAACTTTCATTTTTTAGTATTGACTGTAATATTCAAGAGTGATATTTTTCAAAAAAAGATTAACCTGTTGTCAAGATTGTTATCAAAACCTTTATATACCTACTCAGAAAGTCAAACTCCCGGACAACATATCCCATCTCCAGAAAGTTACTTGTGGTGTTCCACAAGGATCGGTTCTAGGCCCAATTCTCTTCTTGTTATATATTAACGACCTATCCCGCATTAATATGACCGCAGAAATAACCCAATTCGCTGATGACACTACATTATTTTGGCATTGCAAGAATGAAAGGGAACTGCATGATTTGATCAGCATGGATATTATAAAAATAAAAGACTGGTGTGATGCTAATCTCACTCTCAAGTGCTCCACACTAGATATCTACCTGGGTCCTCAATTAATAGAAAACAAAATGTCAGCAAACTTTCTGGGATTACAAATTGATAAAAATTTGGATTTTGAAGGTCACATAAATAACCTATGTAAAAAAATTTCATCAGGATGCTTTGCAGTCAGAGTATCAGCAAATGAATTGGGCACTAATATGGCAAACAATGTTTACTTTGCTCTCATCGATTCCCATCTGAGATACGGTATCTGTTTTTGGGGATTGCCAATACATGTTTGATAGGGTGTTTGTATTACAAAAAAGAGGAATTAGAAATATGTGTAGAGTTGGATTCAGGGATTCCTGTCGATCTTTATTCAGAAAGCATAAAATCTTGACCTTGCCTTCCATACTTATATTGGAAATGTTATGTCTGGTGCAAAAAAAATACAGGACGGAAATTTTCATTTCACCACGACGAAATACCAGATTTATGCTTTATAGTTTTTATATTCTCATACTTACATTTATGTGTTGCATGAGAATATTCATTATTATTATTATTTATTTCAATATGTAGCATATTATTACTTTCTGACTACTTTTTCACCCCAAAATGCTGAAATCAGCATTTGTTCAAATATTACTTTCAATTTGTATAACTTATATTCTTTAAAATAATAACACTTTTGACAATAATATTTTCTCTTCGACAATATCTTTTAAGTTGTGTATCTTATATTTCTTAGAATAGTAACACTTTGTCAATGAGATTTCATCTTCTACAATAAAGTACATTTTGATTTGATTTGATTTTGATTTATACATTCTTAAATGTACAAAAACGTGCTATTGGCCCATCAAAGGCCGCATTTGGAAACAACTGAAATTTAAAAGTGTGACTTGAGAAAACGCGAAAACAACATCCAATCTTGACAACTTTGATCTTAAAAACAACAACTCACCCTTAAAGAAACCCCTCTACCAAACGTAACATCACCGGATACAGTCAAATGATCTAGTTCGAGTATGTCCGGTATGTTGGCGAATCTCCTCAAAAACTCCTTCACCTTCGAAAAGTGGTTGTCGCCTAATTTGACCAGAGGTGTCGTCGGGAACATTCTCTGCGGGGACATCCTAAGAGAGCCATTCTTCAAGCTGTATAAGTTGCTCATAACGAGGAAGAGGTCGGACGTTTTTTTTACTGGCAAGAAGCGGCTTCGTGGTACATTGATTCCGATGCCTCCTTCGAAAGTTTTCATGGCAGCACCTACCGCGGTTTCTAGTTGGATTATATTCTGGCCGCTGGAGAGTGTTTTATTGTTGATGATGATTTCAAGATTAAGGAGATCCTCTCTGAGTACTCTTTCAATTGCTAAAAGATGATGAATAAAAAATCACTGTTTAATAAAATGTTATTCGGTGTGCTTCAGAATACAAAAAAAGTGCAGTTCAATTTGTTAGATTTCACCCATTGATTATGGAAGTAATTCTTACAAATTTATCTCGTACACCCACGAAAAAGGATTGGATAATGGAATTATATTTGAATGAGGCTATTCTTGAACCTGTCATCTGCGACCATGCCATCAGAACATACTTGATCCCAATTAATGAAATAGGAAGAACCTGCTTGGAAAGAAAGATTTTGGCTTTCTACTTCTTTATCTTTATACAAAAAAATACGGGATTCTTCCAAATAAAGGTAGAAAGCTAATTATTCCAAAATAAAGTCTTTAGAAAGATGTGTAAATCATCCAAAGAAATAACTTTTAGACATAAACTGGAAGAAAAAACCCTTTTGAAACAACTACTTTCATATAAATATTGAATTACACGAAAGAAAAAACACTTTCGAAACAACCACTTTTATATGAACAGTGAATTATACAAAAAACACGTTTTTCTATTTAGTATGAACTCCAAACATTCGTTATGGAATTGAATTAGATATCATTCAAAGATATGTATGAAATATAGTATATGAAAGAGGTACATGGAACACTATCATTCTCAATGGCGGACATCCTATGTTGCGTAATAAGACACTTTACTTATTGGCTCTTCAGCACAAATCTGAATAACGTAACAAGATGAATCACTCCATTCTTTCATAAAATTACAACTTCATGTCACAAATGAGTTAAATCTGCATAATGTCATCAATGACAGTACGTAATGACAATAATTTGTTTACTTGATTTATTCCCAGCCATATGAATATTGTTTGAATGGGAAAAACATTTTTGGCACTTTACTTGATCTACACACCTTTCTTAAATAGTTTATTTTGAAATTGATTGCTTTCTCCCTCTCTTTGGAAGATTCCCACATTTTTTTGTATAAAGATGGAGAAGAAGAAAGGTAAAACCGTTCTTTTCCATAAATCAATATCTTCTGAAAATACACCCCTTTCAATTGAAGAAACTGCTGTTCTGCCTAATTCAAAGCATTACCATGCACTTCATAGGGAGGCCATCGAGATCTATAGGTAAGCATCCCAACAACTTCAACAAAAAAAAGAAGTCAACAGAACGTGGTATCTAGTACTCAAGGCCAGAAATGGATTAGAATAGAACTCTTATCTCAACATCATCCCAACAGCAACATACCACTCAACAACGTGAATCAATTGGAACAACCCAGCACAAGTGCGGATTGATCAGGATTATTAAGAGCAAAACTTCGTTTGCTATTGGAGGATGATCTTCTTGCTAAGGATGTTTTTGCAAGAAACGTGAGATCCCTTTTAAATGAAACTTGTATAATCTCTCAATCGGCCGATAAGCGTACCGACGATGACATGTGCATTCACCCCCTGGATTTTTCCTAAGGGCCATCTCTTTACTCGAACCACGATTTTTTAACTCTACTGCCAAAGACCCACACTGTATTTACTTGGTGAAGTAAAAAATTAACGATTATTTTCATAAGTAATTGTGCACTATAATGAGGTTGTTAAGGTTATCTTCTGAATGAACAACAGCAAACAAATATGTTTTCTTTTCAAAATGGCAAATTCCATAGGAATGATGTATTACGTAGTGATAAAGTTACATTTTTTCTAAAGACCTACTTTTACTCACCATCTAATTTGGCCCACAGGTTGTTGGTGTTGAAAAACTTGAAAGTTTTAACTGATTTAAAGTCGTCCACGTGTTCATTCGGGACTTGAGCAATTTCAAGCAGTCTTAATTTCCCTTCGTATTGAATTAAGGTACCTCCCTGAAAAGTATAGAATTCTATAAGGATGTAGGACGTGAGCATGAAATGAGATAAAGGACGTATTTAATTAAGACTGTTCATAGGTTTGAAGATCTCTAGTTTTCACGAAACCAGTCCGAGATTGGCTATCTAGAGGGGAAATTTATAAGTGGAGGCCTTACTCATATTGTAATTTCATTAGCAATAAATATTATAGCA